ACTCTTGCAACATGATTCGAGCTTATCACAGACCCATTTTCTCATCCTCGCCGCCGCCCTGATAGGCCGCCGCGGCGGCGAGCGCGGCTCAACAGGCATTATCACGTCAAATGATGCCCAGGATGAAGTGAAGTAAGTATGGCACACCAGACAGTCATAAAGACCGTAGGCTCTGCTCCAAGAGATATATCACCAGCAGTAGGTCTTTACAACAGCACTTCTATCAGCATTTCACAACTCTACAGCTCTCTACAACATGGCCGAAGACCGCATCTTCAAGCTTGGCGTCATCGTGCCCTCATCCAACACCGCTCTCGAACCATTGACCACCGCCATTGCATCCACGATACCCAACATTTCCGTCCACTTCTCCCGCTTCCGAGTCACCGAGATCTCCTTGAGCGACAATGCGATTTCACAATTCGACGACAGCAAGATCATCGATGCCGCGAAGCTCCTGGCAGATGCAAAAGTTGATGTCATAGGGTGGAGTGGGACCAGCGCCGGATGGCTCGGGCTGGACAAAGACCGGGAGTTATGCCAGAAGATTGAAGACGCGACAGGAATCAAAGCGACAACGAGCTGTGTGGGCATGCTCAATGTGTTTCACGAGATCTTCGCTGGGCAGGAGTATGGAGAGAACACCAAGGCGCGATGGGGTCTGGTAACACCGTACTTGGACGAAGTGCAGAAGAAGGTTATGAAAACATTCGGTGATGCGGGCTACGAAGTCGTAGCTGAGTCTCACCTGGACCGGAGTGTCAATGCCGATATTGTGGCTACGAGTGAAGACGAGCTGGACAAACAAATGGAAGACGTGCTCTCTAAGATGGAGGACGAGCCGATCAAGGTCGTGTCTACATTTTGCACGAACTTGCGAGCAGCGCAAAGAGTTGCATTCTGGGAAAATCGATGGCCAGGCCTAGTGGTAGTGGATACCGTTGCCACAGTGGTGTGGGATATGCTGCGCATACTCGGAATCGACATGAAAGACCTCCGAGCATGGGGCGTTATGTTCTCAAAGGCGGGTTCGTGAATAGTAATCTTGCACAAATTTCATCATGATAAAGACAGCAATATATCCACACTGTCAGAGAGCAGTGGTATGATGTTCGGACTTAACCAGTTATCTCCCAGTAAGTGGGGTGCACTAAGGCGGCTATTACAATAACAGCTCTCTAACCTAGGTACTTAGTAGAACTATAACAACACCTCTGACGTTGTGCCACCAAGGATCGACTTCACTGGCTTTGCTCTACACTTACTTCACAATCATATCAACATCTCCAAACAGGAGCAAAAGAAACAGAACCAAGAACATCAACATCCAAGAACAACCAACAAAATGGGCCTCACAGTCCACCACCTCGGTCACTCCCAATCCGACCGCGTCGTCTTCCTTTGCGAAGAACTCGGCATCCCATACGAACTCAAGAAATACGACCGCTCTCCTCTCCTCGCACCTCCAGAGCTCAAGAAACTTCATCCCATCGAAGCCTCCCCCGTTATCGAAGACGACGGCGGAGTCGTCCTAGCCGAAACCCAAGCCTGCTTCGAGTACATCGCCCACGTCCACGGCGGAGGCAAATTCTTCGTCAGACCCGGCGAGAAAAACTACGCAGATTTCCTCTACTACTACAATGTCGCCAATGGGACCTTGCAACCCGCCATCGGCCGAATCATGGCCTTGAACTTCGCAGGCATCAATCGCGGTAGCGATAATCCACTATTCCAGCGCTTCGACGCAAAAATCCAACAAGTCTATGGCATGCTTAATAAGCGTGTCAAAGAAGTTCCTTGGCTCGCTGGAGAGGAATTCACCGCTGCGGATATGATGATGATTTGGTCTTTGACGGGCATGAGAGAATTTGTACCGAGCGATTTGAGCGCCTATCCGGATCTGTTGAAGTATATGAAGAAAGTTGTTGATCGACCGGCTTATAGGAAGTATTTGGAGAAGGGTGATCCGGATATCGCGGAGTATATTGAGAAGAGTATTTCTGCGGAAGGGCCGCCGAAGTTTAAGAATATGTAGGTATGGTATGTTTCTGCTTTTCATTCTTTTGGTCTGCAAGCTCTGGGATGATGACTATGCTGACTTTCTGGCGAACAGAAAGCGAGAGAACAGGCTTTAGTGGCTGGATATATCCCATTCAACGAACACAAGATCTGTCAGTGAAACGCCCGCTTGAACCAAAATGCGATTCCAGATTTGCAGTCTCGAAGCAACAACAGCTCGGAAGTGCCTTGACCAAACGCCCACCTATTCTCTGCGCTTGTTGGAATCTGCTTCGTGTACAAGCTTCATCCTTGCCTGCCTTTAGCCTTGTTCTAGAAACCCCGCAAAGACTGATAGGAGACAAGCCCGAGATGAGTACGAGGTCGTTCTTTCTGCCCCCGCTTCATGTGTCTCTCAAGTAAAGTACTGGCCTCACACCTCAGCAGTCCAAGCGTCAGGACATTACAAAGGTCGCAATTCTCACCTCCCAGCACTCCGATTGAGTGAGCTGACATTGGTTTTCCATTTTTGTGAGGATTAGTCCACTTGGTACCACGGCGATCGTTTAGCCACCCGCGAAATGGAGGTTGAAGTAAGCGCAAGGGAAGCTTTTTTCGAAGGACAGATGAACGACCTGGCCGTAGAAAACCGACGTAAGGCTGAGGCGTACGCTACTGACGTTGCAAAAATCCAAATGCAGTCACGGTCGGCCGATCCATTACCGTTTGCACACTTTTCGATGCTGTATGAGAGCCGCAGTCGGAGCGGGGTTTGCGAACACGCAGTAGAAATTCGTGGACATCAAGATGTCCCTGGCGAAGATGAAGTAGTGGGGCTAGGATATGCCGTGGTGCGCACTGTAGTGACTAGAAGGGTGTTTCAGCTTGGGCACAGTTTATGGTATTGAGCCACTTTTAATAAGAAACTGGTTACTAACTCGTGCAATAGGGATATCTGTTATCAATGTTCCCAAGGAATGTCCGATTTTTACCTTGCAGTATTCGGAGACCCTTCTTCTCCGCTGACCCGCAAGTACGAAGAGGCGATGAGCACTGACAGTGTTGGCTTACGCCTTTGCTACATTGAGACTATTTACCTCGAGCCGCAGTTCCGGGGACGCGGCGTATCGCTGCTGGTGCTTGACAGCATCATCAAGACTTTCGCAGAGGAGTGGGAGGCAAACATGATCGCACTGCACCCCGGACCTATGGCTCGTGTCAAACACTTTACAGTTGATGGAGTGCAGACACCAGACGACGGGCCAGAACGGCTGGCGGCACACTATGGCAAGCTTGGTTTCCACACTGTGAGGCCGAAAGTTGAGGGCCGGATGGAGCTTCCGTTGATGGAACTGCGAAGGACCGGGCGTCAATCGGCCACGGGTACGTTCGAGAAAAGGAACATCAAGGAAATCGTACCAGGACTCGGACCGATGATTGTCGATAATTCTCCCGTGTAAATTTGGGGCTGGCACTCTGCAAGCATCTAAGAAGTCATCACTGTGCCCGCTTCTTCTCATTCCATTGCTTGTCACTCTCCTGCGACTCCGCTACCCTCAGACCTGGGGTCGGCATCTGCGCCAGATGCTCGACGTTGATCTTCGGTCCTTTGAACCACTTGCGCCCACTGAGCCCATAATGAAGCATGGCCAGAGACATGACACCTCCATAGAGCAAGATCGTCCAGTTCATAGTTTGGGGCGTGAGATTCCTGCCTTTGAACGCGGGCCAGCAGAGCGCAGGTGTGATCACACACCACCAGGCTACTGCAAGAGCATTCACGGTCGCAGAGTATCGACCAAGGTTCCATGGCCCCGGCTTGAATCGATTTCGACCAAAGAAGAGCTTTAGTGCAATAGGAGCAATGAAAGCCGTGTATTGTCCAATACCGACTGCTCGCATATTAGTCTAAACTCGACAGTATCTATGATGGAAGTCATTCCTTACCGAGCGTAAAGAAGGCACCAAGTGCAATGGGCCCTCCAAAGCTGATCAAACCACATAAAGCTGAACATATCAGGACAAACCAAGTGGCCCAGACAGGAGTCTTCGTACGGCTGTCAACCTTCGCCCACAACTGGTGTCCAGGAATTGCGCCATCTCTGGAGTAAGCAAAGATGACCCTGGAGCCAGCAATGGTCACACCAACGCCGCAGAACATTTGCGCAACTTGAGTGAGAGCGAAGAGCGCCAAACCAGAATTTCTGCCGAGGACCTGGAGACACAGTGAGCCGAAGGGCTGTCCGTATGGGCCTACCACGACTTCGGTGACGTCTTTGATAGTGTATGCGATGACCAGAACGATTGCGAATCCTCCATAGAGACCAGATTGAGAGGTCATCACGATGGCACGAGGTGAGGCAATGTTTGCATTGCTGCACTCCTCTGCGAGATGGAAAGGCGCATCATACCCAGCCATGGTGTACAATGCTGTCAGAAAGCCCATTATAGCGGCCCATCCAATTGGCCATTCAGTGCCGTTCTGGAAAGTCGTCCACGTCTCGTGCGTATCGTTCGTCTTCGGAGAATTGATCGAGCCAACAGGAAACCAAATCAGAAAGACCAGGACCAGAATGATATTCCAGACAGTTCCCACAACGTTGAACCTCCCAATGAATTTCGTCGACTGCATAGCAATCAGTCCATTGAAAAGCAGAATGGCCAAGTAAACCAAATAAACATGCCATGTCTCAGGTACCCACTCCGGATTTGAAATCGTCACCGAAGTAGTAATCATCAATGCCAAAGCATAATTCAACGAGCAAGGTCCAATCGCAAAAGCAACAGCATTCGACCAGCCTACGAACCACGCACAAACAGGCCCCCAGCCTTCGGGTGCGAGGACAGCGGCGGCATAGTATAGACCTCCGGCTGTTGGCATGGAAGAGCAGAGTTCCGCCATGCTGAAGGCTACAGATTGGATCATGATGCCTGCGATGAGCCAGCCCCAGATCAGACCGGCTGTACCGGAATAGCCTAGGCCGAAGGTGAGGGTTGAGGCGATGGAGGGGAGAAGGCCGAGAATGGAGAAGGATACGGAGAAGGATTCGAGGAGGGTGAAGTCGCGTTTGAATTCTTGTCTAATGAGAAGAGTTTAGTATTCGTTTGCGAGGGTATGATAGTATGAGTAGAACGTACTTGTAGCCCAAAGCTGCCAATGCTTGCTCATCTGAAGTCGCATCTTCGTCAATGACCGCTCGCTCATGCGTCGTGTCCAATATGGACGTCACGTTCGGTGGACTCTTCTCTGCCATCTTGTCGTTCGCGATGGGTCCACGCTTAGGGGCATGAGCGACCACCGAGAAGCACGAGTTTGGCGACGAAGGCTTGATATCAACAGCTTCAGCTGAGCAAGAGCTGAAAGAGAAGTTGACAGCCGCTGCATTTGAGCCGTTGGTCCAGATTCTAGCTTGGCTCTGCCGTGTGCTACCTGCCAGAATAGGTCCGATAAGCGTGTTGATCATCCTCGTGCTACATGCGTGGATGTATGCAATGCCGAGCTCAAAACGCCTTCGTGGCTAACTTGCCAGCCTACTGTTGGGTTCTGAAGATTTAGCGGAGAATTCCGCGTCTTTGTGGAAGCATTCGAAACGCAAATTATTGCGGACTGGGGTCGGTTTGCGAGGGTGAAATGCAGATCTCTGCCGTATCCGTACCGGCCGTGAGAGTTGTGGAGGAAGAATTGATTATCTAGATGCGCTTATGCATAACAAGCTTCGAGAAGGATTGTGTAGCTTCAGGGTTTCTCCTCAGCCGCAGCTTGAGATGGTCTTCATCTAGCTGCGATGCATTCATCTACTGGCTGGACTTCTTCGAGACCGGTAAATGCCCTAGGCAGCGACGCCTCAAAAGGATTCAATTGTCGTTCGGGCTTCTCGACAGCAGCTGTGCAAACCTTCCTGCTCGATTCTAGGATGTTTGCACTCTCGTTCACGCTGACCTCCATGTAGCTTTGTCCAAAGACTCGCACTACTCCTTGATCACAAGTCCGTCTTAAAGGGCACCTGTTCTGCGAGGGAGCTGGCAATATCGTCATCTGTCGCCGTTCCGTTGGAATCGCTTGTTCGTCCAATAAGTATCCAGTCCTTGACGATAGCTGTGCCGTCCTCGATACATTTCTTCTCTTCTTCAGTGCAGCGTGAAGCTTGGTCAAGGACGTAGCACTGGTGAGGCGTCTGTGGTAACACGTCGTTCTTCATCCACCACGTGTTGCTTGGCCCTGTGGTGGAGTATTGGTTGCCGCGCTCGATGGCGTAGTCGTTCAGATCGATTGTACCAGTTGCGATATCGCGATGCGTCATGGCTCGCATGAAGATGCGATATGCAGCTTCTGGCTGATAGGAGGGCACCATGTGGCCGGCTTGATAGACCTGTGAATCATGAGTATGCCTTTTCGAGACCTGCTTGAGAAAGGCAATTGCTTACTCTTGTGAAGGAAAAGTTCCCATATTGCCGAACAAGTCCACCAGATTGTGTGTATGGCTCAGAAAGCACAAGTGGGGTGTATCCAGCCTTGCTGAAGTCTTTCTGATGCGACCACGGCACATTCAGCGAGTACTGCTCGCCGCCGATCCACTGCGCATGAATTAGTCGATGCGCGATAAAAAATCTTGGGGTAAACTCACATTGCAAGCAAAATCTCTGTCGCCATGGAAGAGCGCGACATTGACGCCGTAGTCGAGAACATTCTTGATCTGCTTGAGTTGCCCTCCTCTGACCAGATCCCCGGTGCGCTCAAATGCTTCCGCAACTGCGGGCGAGAACCACGAGTGGTTTACTGGCACACCGAAAGCCTTCTGCACCTCATGCTGGTTGAGCCAGCCAAACATGTATGGCGGCGGGAATGAATCAAGCGCGTCGTGAGTAACGTCAAATCGTGCGCCACGAGCTGCTCTTACGAAGACCTCGTCACTAATGTTCGAGGCACGATGGGCAGCGGCGGAGCAGATCTCGTTTGTCTTGGCCACGTCCCCATGGTCATGAGGGTCTGTTTTGGATTCAGCTTCACGGCACTTCTCAATCTCGTCCCGAACTCCTCCTGGTTTGCGAAACTCGTGCAGGCTACTCTCGTATTCCTCTTCCGAAATGGCCTCCACGCGATAGGTGTTGTTGTAAGCAAAGATAATCTCGGACTCTATCATGTCCGGAGCATCAATACAGCCGTTGATGATTCCGAGTGTAGAAAGGTGGAGGTAATGTGCACCCTCTGCTGGGATCTCGCCTTTGTCGATCTTGCTGTTCTGTCGGACGAAGTAGTCCATGAAACCAGGTCCGTAGTGCCCACCATAACTTTCCGTGAACAAGCTGATTCGCTCGTCATTGGGCTTGTACTGAGGAAACTCTTCAAACCAGGTCTGAGCAAAGTGCCAAATCGCGGTGGCGGCATGCTGCGTGGAATTTGCTGTGGAGCTGACCTTTTGGCTGCTCATGGTCCCGACCAGAAATGTGTTATTCTGCTCTGGTACGCCATCGGAGAAGTCTGTGGGTTGAACTGGGCTGTTTCTTTCTGGGTCATCTGCACCAAGGTTGACTGTCACATTCGTGAGCACATCGTAAGAGTATCCCACTTGGTTCGGCTGGTCTATGAACAGCAAATTTGCTTCATTGTTCCAAGACCACGGATTGAGGTAAGTGGACTTCGAGTCGTTGCCTGCGGCAGTGTAAGCAGATACACGATGTCGAAGTGCATGTTCTACTCACTGACGAAGCAAGGGCCGTTCTCCGAAAGAGCTCCCAACAACGAGGAGCCGCCAGGTCCTCCATTCAGCCAGATGGCCAATGGGGCATTGTGAGGATCTTTCCTTGACTCGAAGAACCAGTAGAAAGTATTGATGGGGTATCCATTGTGTTCATGAGTTTCATTCAATGATTCCACCGGCAGATGAACATATCCTAGCGGCGTGTGAGCTACAGTCTTGCGAGGGCGGGAGCGGCTCACTGACCTGCGTAGGACTTGACGCCTGGTGTGGTCTCGCAAAGTCCTGGCTCTTTGTATGAGAGCTTGACACCTGGATGATGTTTAGATTGTAATGTTTTGACGCCTTCGGGCTTCGGCGGAAACTGGGCAGCGGCCAAGCCGCCGAGCAACGCCAATGTCGCCAATGCCATAACTGTGATAGAAGGATTGGTATTAATGGGAAAGTGAGGAAGAACTCAAGTAGTATCAATTCGTGTTGCCTAGCCGGCACGACATTGCATGACGCTACCGCGTTTTGGAAGGTGTCAATCCTTCAAGGTGCTCTTGACTCCTCTTCGGTACGGAGCTCGGAGTTCGGATCAACAATGTTCCAAAATGTCCTTCACCCAGCAAACGTTTCTTCCTGTTCATATCTCCTTACCCCCTTCGCATCTCGAAGTTGATGGAAAAGTCCGAGAGATGATATTGGACAGCTTAGTGCTTTCAATGGTGTACAGGATCCGTACTGATGACCCGATTTGCGTTCAGAATTCCAACAATCCGGAGAAAGCTTGATGCGTCTTCTCAGAACGACGCTGACTCCTGCCAGATCGCATGAGCGACGACCTTATCGATCTTGAGACGAGCTTTTGGATCGAGGTTAGTCATGCCAGAGAGGCAATCTAGGGCAACCTCGCCATACGCCTCTCCCCAGATCTTCAGTCTCGCCTCTGGTTGTTCAGCGACCTCTGCGTCAGCCACGTCAGAAGCCATCCGTAGCGCCTTCTTCGCTTTCTCATCTCGAAATTGCTCGTAAAGGCCCTCTGGAACCGGTCCAAAGTATGAGAAGTGTCGAGTCAGCACTTCCAGCTCCTGTTCGATGCCAGCTTTTTCGAGCTCCTTGTAGTTGTTCAGGATGAGCCCGTCTCCAGCTCCGAGTGCAAAGAGGTACTGCGAAACAGGGTTAGATAGAAGCTCGCAGCATAGACATGCTGAGAAAAGCTTACCACCAGGCCCAACGAGTAGATGTCGGAGGCCTTATTTGACATGCCGAAGTGTCCTTCAGGGCTTCGCCACATCACATTGCCCACTGCGTGAGGAGCGATGCGAGTCTCGTGATCCTTGAGTTTGCATGCGACGTCAAAGTCACCTAGCACGACATTAGTGACGACTTTGTTGCCATCTTCGTCGCATGTGTAATCGATGAAGATGTTATCAGGCTTGATGTCTAGCACATGCAGTTAGCTTATAGCCACAGATTCTCGCGCAAGGCGCCCCTTACCAGTGTGAACCCAGTCCTTCGAGTGCAATTGCTGAACAGCCTCTGCAACTCGCTGCATGATCTTGATTCGTTCATCTGGCATCAAACCAGGGTCATTCTGGAGAAGCTCAAGGAAGGTGTCACAATAATAGTCATAGACCAAGAGGCTTTCGTCACGCTTGCAGTCTACGTGCATGCGAAGTCGTGGACTCGAAGGTACGTCTTTGGCAATGCGGTTCGAGAGGTCAAAGCAATGCTTGGGCATTCGCTTGAGGACGTAGCTCTTGCCAGAAGATCTAACATCTAAGTTAGATTTGTCATTTCCTTTTGGGGTGCGCGTGAACTCACTCTGCTTTGAACATGTCGAATGTGCTATCATACGGGTGTCGTCTCAATAGCTGACTATTGGTGTAGACTCGACCCGAGTCGCCGACAAGGTCTGAACTCATCCTCAGACCTAGGAAGCGCTTGGCAGAATGCGAGATTGGGCGAGAGGCGCAAAATTGTCGCCACATCGCAGATGGTAGAAGTGTTGAGTGGCTAGCTGAGGTGCAGCGATATGTGTTGCAAGGTCGATGTTGATGAAATGGTCTGGTAGAGAAGAGAAGAGAAGATGAAATGTCAGCGAAGGTGGCTGCCAATGTCTTGGCAGTGAACGCGTGAACTGTTTGCTAAGGGGGCCGCAGCATAGCTTTCATACACTCATCACTTGCGCTGACTTCGCTCCAACATAGGGTGCCGGCTGCAGGACTCAGGATACGCCCGAGTCACTGTCTGCTTATGAACAACTATTGTAGCTGTCAGTGAGCTTCGTAACGTGAAGGGACTGTTGTTCTGATTTGCTTACCAGAGAGCGTGGTGGTGAATAGACCGTCAGAGGCCTTCGCGGTGAATACACTGCCTAGGACTCACATCTGATAGCATTGACCATAATGGTGAATACGCGAGGACTGCGTTTGGGCAATTTAACTTGCAAGTCTTCCATAGTCCGCGCCGATGCATCAGTACAGCATACAGGCCTGCCAGCATGGGTATCGTCATCAGAGCTACCGTGCCCATCACAACGGCTTTGATTCGAGGCCAGACCATCAGACTGCAGTACGCAAGTGAGACCCAGAACTGGCGGCGTCCCGGGTTGCCCAAAGCCGGAAAGGATGGGTTCGTCAAGGTGATGCAGAAGGGGGACGTACATGTCCCAGAAGGCGCTACTACGGCCACCATGACGTACGCAGTCTATGCTCCGGACCATGATCAGTGCTGACAGATACGTAGGCACGTTGAACACTCGAGTCCAGGAGACAAGATCCCGCACTGGACCGTGGTGTGGAGAGACGCTCAGGGCAACTACCTAGAGACCGCGCACATCTACGATACCTCAGAAGAGGATTCGGAAACACCAGAGGAACAGTCTGCCCCAGAAGGAGAGGGGGCCGCGAGTGCCTCACGTACATGAGAAAGGGGACTATGGTGCACTCCATTCGTCTGCATGTCTGCGTTCGGTCGGGAGGGTCGGGTGTCGAGGGGAGGCAGAATATTCCAGGCGATGCATCGCGCACTCTCGATCGACCTTTTTTCGAGTTTAGATCACGCTCACCGGCTTGACTCATTGGTCTTGCGGGGGAGGAACAACCGCTGCGTTTTATAACAGTATCGTGGCTAGATACGACTGCGGCAATGCGAAAACAAATCAGTTCATGTTCATGACCATGTTTCAATACACCCTTCGAGTTGATGTGACCTGCTTTTCGAGTTGGCCTTTCAGGTGCTTTCCGGAACTTGAACCAGTTAACATCACACTGCCTTGGTCGTGGCTCACTAGAGCAAGAGGCCACGACAATCGCATATTATTTCAGCGATTTTCAATCCACTTTTCGTGGCACCACGAGGCGCAGTATTTGAGAATGTATCCTCGTGTCGATGGTGGGCCAGTGGCCGGCTGCTCGGATGCTTATGCTTGATGGCAACTCCTTCGGCGTCAGGTAATCCCGGACTCCAGGTGCTTGATCCACGTTTCTGTGAGCATGGCAAGTAGACGAGAAGTAGAAATTTGACGACTTATTAATGTCTCGTTGTGTTATGTAGCGCGTCACAAACCAATGTGAAGTTCATTCCGGAGCGGAACAATTTCTCACCGTGCCTGTGCCACTCGACGCGTTCTTGCTCCTTCACACCCACAACAACGCAATCAGAGGGCATTGCGATGGCAGCTGAAAAGCCAAATGCACGTGTGCCACTTGCGACTCCTGTCAAAGATAGTTTTGCAAGGCGCAATCTTACGAAACTCGCCCTGGCAATCACTGCTCGCTTATACAGCAGAGTAGGTCGCTGCAGGCGCATAACTCCAAGCATTATTGTCAAAAGTGGCTCAGATGTGGATCTGACGGAAGCAGCATCAATGCTGTATATTGCAGCGAATACGTCGATACCGGTGCCGAAAGTCCATTGCGCGTTCAAGTCCGAGGGAAAGGTCTATCTTGTCATGGAGAAGGTTCGTGGTGAGAACATGTACAAGGCTTGGGAACAGCTCGCAGAGTCCGAAAGGGAGAGACTACTTGCCCAGCTAAAAGAGCTTTTGGAGCAAATGCGAAGTTTACAACCTCCAACTGGCACAGGTGTGCAAAGTTGCGTAGGAGGTTCGCTCCACGATTCACGAATCCCTCATGGCAAGCCTCGATTCGGACCGTTCAAGACCATTCAAGAATTTCATCTGTGGCTTCGCGATGGCTTGCAGATATCGGACATCCAAGACGGAGCTCATCGAGAAGAACTTGAGACTATGATCAAACAGCAGGACAAAGACTGGCCACCAGTAGTCTTCACTCATGGCGACTTAAATCCGGCCAATATCCTCGTCCATCAAGGTCGGATAAGTGGAATCATTGACTGGGAGTTCGCAGGCTGGTATCCGCACTACTGGGAATACACATCTGCGCGATATCTCGATGGGGTTATACCCACCTGGACCACTGTTCTCGACCAGGCTCTGCAGGCATTTCCGCAAGAATTAGAAATGGAGAGAACACGGCAAAAATGGTGGGGAGACGTATGAGAGCGCAGACCGGCCCAGAAAACGAAACAAAAACAATATTGGTGCGGCTTCGACTCTACGGCAACACTTCCTTACCCTCGATCAGATCAAACGTAGGCCGCGCCTGCTGCATCTGATTGACATCGTTATACCGGCCCGCAGCCTTCTTGTCTGCAACGTACTTCCGTGCCGCAGGTTCAATCTTCTGCCAATCGAGCAAGGCTGTGCCAACAGCCTTTCCGTCCTGCCTCAAGGCTTCCAAAGCATTCGCGACCCACGTCCGACATCTCCAGCCAGGATCTTTCTGTATGACTGGAATCGAACGCAATACCTCGATCAGGCGCTTCTCATCTTCAATCTTGGCTATCACAAAGCGTGCAAGCAGTGTATTGGTCATGCGGACATTTCGGATGTCCAGCTCTTCGTAGACCCACTTGACTTCGCCACCAACGATGGTGTTTTTGACATGGTAACGCATGCCAGGCACGTCCTCCTCCTTCTCAACCTTCGGACCATCCAGGAATGCCCAGTGGTATCTGTGCGTGAACAAGATAAGCTCATGTCTGCACGACTTTAAGAGTTTGCATACTGTCTCTCCGCATCATCTACAACTCCACTTGGATATAAGGCGACGTATAGTCTCTTCTTGTTGGAAACCATGATTGATATGGAATGTATTGCTTGCGATTATGCTTTTCAATTGAATCTTGTTTGCTTTGCTCAGAGACACGAGACTGGACCTCGCAACATGATATATGTGTGCGAACAACAGGCATGTATCTATTCTGGGAGGCCGCGGTTCTGTGTACAACCGCTGAGTCTGGCGCATGTCTACTTCGCAGCCTTGCGATTGCAAATCATTTTGCAGGGTACTGGAACTTGTTTGCCCACGTTCAACGATCGCAAAAATCGGCAACCCAGCTACATGTATGTGTGCGGCGTAGTTGGGCTGGGCGGCTGTAGCTGCGCCACATGAGATGCGATCCCGCTGGCCAGTCTTGAAGCGCCCGCTTTCTGTAGTGCAGGGAACGTTGCTTGTGCGTCCCACGCAGTAGACAATAGCTTTTTGATACAGGTGTCCATCGTGTATATGGAGTTCACGCATCGGAACACCAATGCCATTCTGACGTCGGAAGTGACTCCGATGTGCTTATTCAGAGCGAAGTGCCCTTGGACCAAGTCTCTACAGATTGGCTTCCTTGACTGGTCTGACCACAAATCCAAGCATTGGGAAGTGAATCCTCGTCTCGACAGTGGCACGCTGTTCCAGTGGCTTCGGCTTAATGACAACTTCCTCGGGCGAAAGAGCTATCAATGTCCCAATCGTCGGACTGAGATCACATTAGCACTAGGGTCGACTGGCATTGAAGAACGTCAACTTGTCAACTTACTCATCTCGCCCAGTATCATCCGGCGCAACAGAAACGAGCGCACCCTCCTTCAACCCCGTCCGATTACACAAATCCTCAATCACGGACCTCGGAGTCGGAAGCAACAAAGACCTCTTGCCCAGCGCAGGCGCTTCTCTCATCTGCGCCAAAACCGCCTCGACCTCCTTCGATCGATCCTGTTCCGTATCCGGCATTTCATCGAAATACCGCTTCATCCTCTGGTACCATCCCCAAACGCCCGGATAACGCTGAGCATTGAAGACAGGTTTCATTCCCGCTTCCTTCTCATTCTCGGCACCGCCCATAGTGATACTATGTGTGTACTCTCCTGAGGAAATGTCCCAGCCCCAGAGTAATTCGTAGTAGAGCGAGATATCTGCCAGCGAAGGCGTGGGTGTGGAGAAGATCCAAGGGCCGTCGGTTCCTGTTGTGAAGAGTGGCTCGACCATAGATAGTTGATGATCGAGTTTCATCAGATTTTCAGGAAGTTTCTTCTCCAGTTTGTCAGGATCCAATTTGTGTCCTATCAGTTGGGCTCGGTCGGTGCCAAAGGAACTCCTCCAGATACTCGCTGGCATCAATCCGCACGTCACGCGGAACAGCGGTCGATCGGTCCAGTATGATGCAAAGCCTCGGATTAGTGGTCTGTAATCTCTGCCATCTTGAGCTCGAGGGTAAATGCTTTGATAGCCTTCTGAGGCCGGGAAGAAGTGTTCTAGTGCTTCGGTAATGAGCGATGTGTCGCAATATAATTCGCGGCCAATGGCGAGGACGGGGATCTTGCGGTATGTAAGGTGAAAATTGTCGCGAAGGAGCGGACGTGGCATCATTGTTGGGACTGCAACGAAAGTATAGGGGATTTGTTTGAGCTTGAGAATATGGCGGATTTTGATGGTGAAGGTGGACATTTCGTAGCCGAACAGGGCTACGATGGGTTGTGTTGGCGGCATTTTGACCGTGCTTCTGCTGTCTGTGTCTTAAATTCAGTGAGGAATTTGAGATTCAGTCGAGTAAATAGGATTCTGTTCTCGTAGGTTCCCGTGTATGTGGCACACAGCAGTGGGCCGACAAGTTGAAGTGAGCTTGACATGCTCCTCGGCTTCATCGGTAAACCAGTTCCTGGGGTGCCAGGTCTTGGCATCATGGCCAGGTCCGGCGGATGTGAAGTCGCACTTCAGCCAACGGCGTCCATCGAGAGGATACCAATGATCAGATCAGAATTGAACGATTCAGGACAGATACTGTCTTCTTTGAATGGAAAAGAATGGTCTCAAAAAGCTTACCACTGGCAAGATTTCGGCATGCAGGACGAGGGGAACTTCACCTGACTGATGCTGATACACTATGGATACAGGCGATCGTGTAAAATCGTTGCAGGAGTGTTCTTGCCATATTGGCAGTTCTCGCGATTTCGTCAGGTCGCCGCTCGATATAATGCGACTTGCTTAACCGCGTGATCAGTCGCAGTTCTGCGTTTGCTTCTCGAAACGTCACTAAACCCGCACAGTGCTAGAATCTGGAACGTAAGTGTCTGTCGTTCTGGCCGTGATGAGTTTTGCTCCAGTGATTGCTCGAAATGCGCCTCCCGTCATCCTTGTAGGATACGGCCTGCCACTGGGTCTTGCATTCGCTCTCGATCGTGGTTCGCGATGAGTTTCGTTGCTCTCCAGTGCCTTCAGCAATGCTAAGAGTCAAGAAATCCGTCTATTTGACGCGTCACGCGAGGAGTTGTCATTCACAGAACGCGTGGACGATTTCGGTAACCGGGCACTTCTTCACAATCTTGCTGGTACGTTCGCCGCTGCCTGTGATACTGCACGGATTGCTGATACCTATCCATGACTTGGATGGCATCTGCTGGACTTGGTCTCTTGGTCTGGTTGAAAGCTGTCATCACATGCTTGCTGGAAAAAAGTGCCGCAGGGTCATGGGCCAATGTTTTGGGCGAGAAGCCGTCTCCACATGGTGATTGGCCCAGCGGGGGCGAAGCTAATGTGATGCGATGATGCACATGGAACGTGGCAGTGTTGATGGTGAATACTGTCAATACTGGGGAGCCGGCGGCGCGACGTATTTCCTGGTGATCCGGAGTGAATTAGTGCACGGTAAGGCTGCAGTGTTGTTTGTGGACACGACTGCGGCTTCCCAAATTGCGGCCCAGTCACAGGCCCAGTCACGTGAACAACGTCCTAGTTCGCTTTCGTCACTTTCCCACGAACACACTCACTCCCTCTCCCCCACCATCATTGACCTCTCTCCGAAGCAACCACCGCCTCGCTCTCGCCATTCTCGCCTTCCGCTCTCTCTAATACAGCAACACCAACAGGTCAGTACTGCCCCCCGACGACTATCGTGCCTGTCTGGCAGGTGCGAAAGGAGAGCCCACTCCGTGTACCGGGAACTGGCCATCAGCTGCGATAAAGTGCGCCCCGAATTCGTGGGCGACTGCGGAGTCACCAACGAGGCCGCCTGCCGGACGCCATTGATTGCGTCGACATCGTTCGCGAGCAAATACGCCCCCTCCAGCGCCCGATAGCACGCAAACACGACTGCCTGCAGCAACAGCGACGAGCCCTGACCGCTCCTGCGCCAGGCAAGCGCACTGCTGCCATTCAACAGACGCAGTAGCACCGCCGCGGCTGACCACTCCGCTCGCTTCACCTCGTTCATCCGCATACACACGGCCGCGGATTCGCAACAGCCAGACACCGCACAGCTCTCCTTCACTTCATTTTTCGCAATCGTCCAGCAACTGCCAGAAAGATGCCTGATCAGCACGAGCCACAACTGACACATCCAATCGCTACAGTCTCTGAACACAAACACACAAAACAACGCAAAATGGGTTACGAAGACTCCGTCTACCTCGCGAAGCTTGCCGAGCAGGCTGAGCGCTATGAGGGTAAGTGGTGGGGAGGTGCAATTCGCAGCTTGAGCTACGCGCTAATCAGCTTCCAGAAATGGTCGAGAACATGAAGGCCGTGGCCTCCGCCGATCAAGAGCTGTCGGTCGAGGAGCGCAACCTTCTTTCGGTCGCCTACAAGAACGTCATCGGCGCTCGTCGTGCCTCCTGGCGCATTGTCACCAGCATTGAGCAGAAGGAGGAGTCTAAGGGAAACGAGCAACAGGTGACTCTGATCAAGGAGTACCGCCAGAAGATTGAGGCCGAGCTCGCAAAGATCTGCGAGGACATCCTCGAGGTTTTGGACAAGCACCTCATTCCTTCCGCCCAGAGTGGCGAGTCGAAGGTCTTCTACCACAAGATGTACGTTGATACCACATGCGATTGGGGAAGATCCATATCTGACAATGCTCGCTTTGTAGGAAGGGAGACTATCACCGCTACCTGGCCGAGTTCGCCATGGGCGACAAGCGAAAGACCTCTGCCGACAAGTCGCTCGAGGCGTACCAGGCTGCCACCGAGGTCGCCAGCACCGACCTTGCGCCAACCCACCCCATCCGTCTCGGTCTTGCCCTGAACTTCTCCGTGTTCTACTACGAGATCCTCAACTCCCCTGACAAGGCCTGCCAAATGGCCAAGACCTCATTCGACGAGGCCATCGCTGGTGGGTAGCGCGCATTGCATGACGTGTTGATCCACGCTGACGTCTTTCGCAGAGCTCGACACCCTGTCTGAGGAGAGCTACAAGGACTCCACCCTCATCATGCAACTCCTCCGTGATAACCTGGTAAGTGCGGCTTTGCATGCAAACATGATCTTTACTAACACACATTGCAGACTCTCTGGACCTCTTCCGAAGCCGAGCCTGCTCAAGACGCACCGGCCGCCGGAGAGGGCGAGTCCAAGGACACGTCCGACGCGCCAGCCGGCGAGGAGGCCAAGCCCGCCCAGTAGATTACGAGTTTCACGTGTTTCCTAACATACATCGACGGTCCTTCGTTGAGAGCGGGTGGAGGCAATGTGCGTTGCTGCTAGAGCGCAGGCGGAGCATCTCCTTTTCTTGGAACGGTAGAGAGGGTCTTCTTGTTGGCGGGTGGTGGAGAAGACTTGAAAGATTTTCGAAGCCTGCAAATGAACTATGCTATTCCCCCTACATCCCTTACAGCCCGCAGCAAAACAAAACAACAAAGCTCAGGAAGAAGACATGCTCTGAATATCCTCAAAATCCTGAAAGTTCTTCATGCTTGACTGCGCCGTTTCTTCATTTCACTTCTCACGTTCCCTGATGCACCTTGCGTGCCGTGGTTGTATGCTGTGGTCGCGTTGCACTACGCCCTTGAGCAGTGAACACCTGGCACGCGAGCATGTCCGGATGGAGCACCAGATTGCATGCCAACCTGTTCGAACATGATACAGCATTATCTTGTCATCTGAAGGTGGTCTAGTGTCTAGCCGCAGTGCGCATGTAGGAGCAGCTATCCGCGTATCAGCGCTGACAGACAAAGTCACCGAAGCGCTGTCGGACGACTGTTTCACGAGCGTTGCTGTACTAAGGCTGCTCGAGTGATTATTGCAGCTGTCAATGCCGGCCAACGATTCATGTCACGGCAGATGGCTGGATGTCTGTGTGTCGGATCCGATTTGGTGGGATGGGTGGCTTGGTGCCGTTGTTTGAGACTAGTTGGTCAGTTAAGCCGAGCAAAGTGATATCGCGGATCATGGGAAATGCAATCCGCACCACAGATCTCGTATTGCTTGTAATTGTTTAAGCAGATGGGGACGATTTGATGAGGGTACCTTGGTACATGACTGGGATGGTGGGTGTTTGGGCAGGAGAAGCGAGTCAAGCACGCGAACGTTCTTGTACATACGTCGTCTGTTCCTGGATCGCGGGTACGGTCGAACAGAGGTCTCACAAATGCAATGTTCGCTGGGAGCTGACGGGCTCAGCGAGCGATGACGGCGGCGAGACACGGTCTGGTCTGGTGGTGCCCAGCGGGATCGGTCGGCAATCGCACAGAATATTGCAAATTCCAGATTGGAACAGCTTAGCGGGCAGGCGCGAGAGGATCCGAGTTGTGTGCGCGCTGATGGAGACTTGAGTTTGGCAGAAGAGGTGTCCGGTTGGGTGACCACTGACCCCGCTGCAGAGTCAGCCCGTCTGCCAGTCGTGAAAGCGCGCACGCACGTAGCGCAGGCACCTCTCTTCTTCCTCGACAACATCAGTTCATCCAGAATATCTCATCCGGCTTTGTGTTTGCTTTGCGGCGTCCGTCCTCGTTCTGCGGTGATTCCATTCCCGGCGCGTGCGATATCGACTATCACTCCCCCGTCCTCCTCTCGGTCACAGTTCTGGTGAGTTGCTGCCCACTTTCCTGCCCTGCTCCGCCCGCCCTCCATCGCCACCTGCACCACGCTGCCCTCGACCTCGCACGCCTGTGCCTGTGCGCTGCAAAGGGCCAGATCGGTTGCGCTGAAAGCTGCCTGGTCGCGTGCCTGCGCGGCTCCACGGGACACATGGGCGTGGAAGTGGAAGCGAGACGATCTCTCGTCTTCTTCAGATGCGCATTCATCAACTTCCACCCCAGTCTCCTCTGTCGTCACCTGATCGCACGCGCGCACCCACACCCAGCACCCACCCACGCACAACCGATCGGCCACGGCAGCAGCAGCAGCAGCGCAGAGGTCAGCATCACGTACAGCTTCCCCAGCCCCAGCACCGCGTCTGCAAGCGCATCATCCAGCAGGCATCGCTGCGGTGCCCTCTCTGCCTGCGCGCCCATCGCTCTCTACCGGGTCGCCGGGCAGCTCCCCTCGCGCAATCCCATCCACCTCCTCCGCGCCTGACGAACGCCTTGCGGCATCACTTCGCGCGCACGCCCTCTGATTCGTCCCAAGCGCCGCGGCTCACCACATTTCTTGCAGATTTAGAGCGCCCTTCGGCAACACCACCTCACCCCAATCCTACCCATCCGTCCATCCCTCCGTGGGGCCCTCCCTTTTCCGCCCACCGCAGACCTGTGCGTGTGCTGAGTGAGAGCAAGGCGTTCAGGCTTTGAGGCTTCACTTTTTCCGGCCGGCGCAAGCAACTTTCGGGTGCATTACTACTCTTTGCGACATCCTCGGACACCATCACGGCCACAACGCAGCGCGCATACCTCGCACAGCTTCACGCGATTCACGGCCGAGCGAGCATACTTATTGTCTCTGTTTCACCGGTAAGTCGACCAGCGACGCCGCAGTCGCGGTTGGCAACAGCCATGCGGCACAGCTGTCGCGACGCTGGAGAAATGACGTGTGCGCTTGGGCTGACACTTTACTCATCACAGATCCGAGCAATTTAGCGCACACGCGACCGCGATCTCGTCCCCGACATCTTTTCGCGACTTCGAGCTACCCATACCCCGAAAATGAGCTTCCAACCTCAAGAAGGCGGCGCGCAGCCCCAAATGCAGCCTGGTCAAGAGCAAGGCGGATTCCCGCAGCAGGGCGGCTTTGAGCAGAGCGGATTTGGCGGCGCGCCTGGTCAGGAACAGCCGCAAGGCCCTCCAATGGGACAGGCCATCGATCCGTCGCAGCAGGGCCAATTCCCTCAGCCACAAGGTCCTCCAGGTGCTCAAGGTCCTCCAGGCCCCAACCAGGGCGGCGACCAGAAAACAACTCTCTGGTCAGTACCGCGCATCAAGCGACGCGCTCGGCGAAATGCCAGCGCGCTTCGCATACACAACGGCGCATTCGCTGACAATGCTATAGGATGGGCGAACTCGAGCCATGGATCGACGAGAACTTCGTGCGCAGCGTCTGGTTCGGCATGGGCTATCAGGTCAATGTCAAGATGATCCGCGACAAGTTCTCTGGGTACGTGCATTGATTGACGAAAATTGTCGATCTGTGGAGTAGCGCTGACCGTGCGTGCAGATCAAATGCTGGATACTGTTTCGTCGACTTCGAGAACCCAGATGCTGCTACCCGCGCACTTCAGCTCAATGGACAGGTCATTCCTAACTCGAACCGACAGTTCAAGCTGAACTGGGCCAGCGGTGGCGGTCTTGCCGACCGCAGCCGTGACGACAGAGGCCCCGAGTATAGCATCTTCGTCGGCGACCTGGGTCCAGAGGTCAACGAATACGTTCTCATGTCGCTCTTCCAGAACAAGTACCCATCATGCAAATCTGCCAAGATTATGAGCGATCCTATCTCTGGCATGTCTCGTGGATACGGTTTCGTCCGATTCGCAGACGAGCAGGACCAGCAGAAGGCGCTTCACGAGATGCAGGGTGTGTACTGCGGCAACCGGCCCATGCGCATCAGCACTGCGACGCCAAAGAACAAGAGCGGTGGCGCTGGCGGTCCTGGAGGCATGCAGCCAGGTGGCATGCCAGGCGCTGGTGGTCCAGGCATGCCGGGCATGTACAGCATGGGCGCTCCTCCAATGGGCTACTACGGCGCACCTCAGCCAATGAACCAATTCACGGATCCAAACAACACCACTGTATTCGTCGGCGGTCTCTCCGGCTACGTTACCGAGGATGAGCTGCGCTCGTTCTTCCAAGGCTTCGGCGAGATAACATACGTCAAGATTCCTCCAGGAAAGGGCTGCGGTTTCGTCCAGTTCGTTCAGAGACATGCCGCAGAGATGGCCATCAACCAGATGCAGGGCTACCCAATTGGTAACTCTCGTGTCCGTCTCAGCTGGGGTCGTTCGCAGAACAACTCCGGACCAGCCGGCACGCCGTATCGTCCAGCGCCACCTCCGCCAGTCTACCCATCTATGGGAATGCCACCCCAGCATCCGTATGGCAACTTCGCTCCCATGAAGGTGAGCCACCCGTGATCTTGATCTCTTTCAACAGTATACTGACTACTTTACAGTAAGCGCATTTCCGTCACATTTGCCTTGAGTGAGATTGCACTTTAGCGGGAGTTGGTCAAAGGTTACAACATACGATCTGCCTTTTACTACTTGCATGCGAGAAATCTGCGTTTCTTAACGACGACCCACGACAAATGAGAATTACGCGGCGGCGCTATCAGACAGCACGGAGAACGATCTCTCTCATGGCATGAAATTCGATCCATGCATGCATTCTATCCGAAATACCACGGGAGCGGGGCGATGGCGGTCAGATTGCTGGATTACAGAAAAGTTTCTTACCCCTGTTGAACATATACACTTATTCCCACAACACCCCTTCTTCAACACATCAACACTACAATTACCCACACACCATCAAACTTGACGAAGACGACCATTCACCAACCGACACGACGACCTCTCTTTCCGACTGCGAAATCTTCTTTTGCCACACTCGTTCTGCTTTCACTTTCATGGACTAGTCTTCAACAGCGGCATTTGCTCACGGAGGGCTTCAGCGGGGATGAAGCTCGTTTTAGCGCGGCGATGAAGGAGTTTGCTTTCTCTGTCTGTTCGCTTCTGTACAACAGAGGGCTTGCACTTTTTTGTGGCCCGTGCCGCATGGCGCTGATGGGGTGGGGAGACCGAACACCAACTCAGAGGTTGCGGAGAAAGGGAAGGCGATGTTTCTTCTGTCTTTTTTGCCTTCTCATATCTTAGCTAGCTGAGATGACTCGATCATGAAAGACAAGTTTCTTTTGAGTTCCTTTTCTGTCTGCTTCTTTGGGCTGATAGGATGGGCTTGAGAGAGATGAGATGAGACGTGGTTCTTTCAGGGATTGCGGACGGAGTTGTGTGTAGGCTGGCGAGAATGAGAAGATTTCTTGGTCGTTTCTGTTCCTTCTGTCTTCGTTCGGGTGCAGCCTTGGCTTTGTAACTGCGTGATGTATGTGGAAGCACGCGGACTGAGTAAGTACGGAGCGACTCCTGAAAGCTGAAGCTGACAACTGCGTGACGCTGGTATGAAGTCCAATGAAAGTCAAGACAGTGCTGGAGAGTCCCCGGAAGGCTTCGCAGCGGTAGGCGCGAAAGCAGCCGTTGGCTTCACGTCAAGCTTCACCCACCGACTCCCTCTCCATCTCGACGCAGCACTCCGCCAGAAAGCACAGCACCGCTGGCGGCACCTCCAATGCGTTGGTCAGACGCCTACTATCCACGTCCAAGATGAAGATCACACCGAGCAGCAACGAGACGCTCTCATCCTCCGCTACAGCCACGCTCCACAGACGACCGGAACGCGACTTCCGCGTGAGGATTGAGTCAACGGCGACGACGCGCGCTGCGTGTTTTGGCAGAATGACGCGACTGCTCTTTCCTGTCGGCAGGGCCAACGCCGCTGCCTCTCTTCCAGCTCAAGGGTCACACCACTCCCTCTTGCCCAAACCCCCATTGACTTTCTTGTCCGCTCTTTCGACACCCACGAGTTTCTTCCTTCATTGTACGGGAAGCCGAAGGCGACCGCGCTCCTTCTTCATCGCCGCATACCGGCGACTAGGACGCTCGTTCGATCCGAAGACAGCGCATTGCGCCGCGCGCATCACCAACTTTGCGCATCGTCTTTCCGCGGCATTTCGAATTCTTAGCAAACAGCGCCTGCCTCACCCTCCGCAACGATGCGCTTCGAGGACTGGGACGTCCTCGTCTTCCCGGGGACCGGCGTCGAGGCGCATATACCGATAAAGGAGTTCGGCGTCGAGTGCTATGGCGTGACGGACGATAGGCTTCTTAAGGATGGTATGGATCCTACGAGTCCCTTCGAGATCATCGGAAGCTGACGACGATTCAACAGAATCCATCACCGCGCCACTGTTGACTGCTTTCATCCCCAGCCTTAGGGCTGGCGAGCCATTCCAGATTTCACTGCACTCGTGGAAGCCCAGACCATTCAACTTCCGCCCAGCTGGCAACTCTCGTCCCGATCGACCACAAGTCTGGCAGTTCAAAGTCACCGTCGATGGACAGGTCAAGTGCGTCGACACTATGACTGCCGACGTACAGTGGCCAAAGGCACTTCATCTGGCTACTGCTCAGGTCGGACCCAATGGCCAGCCAGATCAGTTGCGCTTCCCGCCTTTCTATCAGGAGAGCGTGTATGCCAACAAGTGGCATCCGTACGCCGAGAAGGGACGCATCAAGGTGGAGATCTCTGAGGGCTTTCTGGAGCGGACGGATCGGGATGCCAAGTTTGTGAAGTTGACGGTGCATGTCATTTTCAATTTCCAGCATGCTCCAATGGGTGAGTGCGAACATTCTAGATCTCTGTGCTCGAATGAAGTTCAGGATACAGAGCTGACTCTTCTCAGATGTTCTCCGAGCCTGCGGCAAAGCCTGGCCGAGCCAGGAAATGTTGAGGGAGAAGCGCGTCTGGGCTCCTCATCTCATGCCAGACATGCCGAATGAGTTTCACACGGCCGAGTATCAGGATCCTGAGCGCTTCCGTCACCACTCATCCGTTGGCCCGCAGAAGAAGGTTCAGAAGCGTCGTGCGAGCGCTTACAGTGCCTTCATGTCATCTTCTCCGATGTTCAGCAACAACGCGGGTGCTCCACCGCCGACCCCGACGTATGCCAATTCTGGCTATCCCATGAGTCTTCCACAGGATGGCAACAGTAGTCGCTCCACCTCTGCATACAGCACTCTCTCCAGGTCCGGTATGCCGTTGAGCGTCGCTAATGGCATGGTGCACTTCGCTGCTGCTCTGCCTGCCCCAGCGCCATACCCAAGCAATCAGCATGGACTCCTTCCCAACGACCGTCCGGCAAACGACACAAATATGGAGGTGCGCATCCCGAGTGACCAGCTACAGAAGGTGGTCGATCTGCTGCAGCGCCGTGCTAGCGGAAGCATCATGGCTCCGCCTCCACTGCCGAGCCATATCATGGACACCAAAGCAGACGTGGAGAAGTTGGAAGAGGCCGCTGCCACGACCGAAAATCCCGATGGTGACGGCAACATGATGATCGATCGCCGTGGTACATCTCGTTCGAACATCTCGGATGTCAGCATGCATGCTGGCTGTGCGGACTTTCCACGCTGCACGACTGAGGACGAGGATAGGCGCATCGTTCATCAAACGGGCTCTGGAGTTGCCCCTGCTGCTGTTATGCGCAGCAGGAAAGAGGGTTCAGCTGAGCATGCGGGTGAGTTGGCTATGCAGTAGCAAATAGGTGTCATACTAACTGTTACAAACTAGATCGCGACTTCATGTCCACCGTCATCAATCAGGCCGAGCTTGAGGATCCGGACGAAATGCAGACCGAGCCGAATGAGGGTGGTGGTGAGCGCACTGCATCTTCCGGCTCAGCTGCTGGCACGGGCAAGAAGCGTACTCGCGCTTCCCTGAGGACACTTTCTGTCAACGAGGCCGGTTCGCCAAAGAAGCATGATCGTGACAGCGAGATGGACGTGGATGTCACGTCGGGTCGCAAGGTATGCATTCTAGGCCCTTCCCTGTCTGAGCTGAAGAAACGGAAACATGATACTGACCGACCTACTCTTGCTTTAGCTTCGCAAGCGTGTCACGGCCGGCGGCGACGAGGACGCTTAGCTTTCGACTTCTTTTCGCTGTTTGCAGCCCTTGCTCACGAAATGTGTTCAGCGTGGGCCTCACATGGAGCGCCATGAGTGTACGCATCTTTACTGTCGACAGTTTCATCGATCGAAGAGGTCGATTACGTTGTTATGAGTTTCGGCACGGGTTGTTTGCGCTGGGCGTGTGTGTGGCTCTACTCTGGCGCTGTCTTTGTGCGTGGCAGAATGCTTTGCTCTGTACCATCACAGACTGCCGGCAGCGCAATGGTGGACGGATTTGATGAATTGTTTTGAGAGATACCCTGTACTACTAGTTTTAGTTGTAACATGGATTCCGAAAAAGTCTTGCTTTTGCTTCTGCAATTGTGGAGGGGCTTCGTGGTATCAAAAGTTTTCTGATCAATTCTGCTTCCTGGATTCGCTCTCTTTCTATCACCCCTTCAGACTAACTCTATTAGACTTTGGCATGCTGAACATTCAATTGATTATCTTGAGTATGTATTCTAGGCTGAGGCCTTTTGAGCTTTGGCCGGAGGGGGAATTCCTGTTGCGATGGCGAGGGCGTTAGCTTGTTCGATCAATGGGTCGCCTTCTCCAGTGGGAGAATTTGCGATTATGTTGATGTCGAAGCGTTTGGGTTCGCGGATGTGGGATGCGGTGCTGGTGGTTGTGGATGTGGCGGAGGAGGGAATTGTGGAGGGTGGGAGGGTGGAATCTGGGATGGAGTGTGAACGGAGGGGATGGGATGAAGATGGTAAGGGTTCTTGGGATTGCGGAGTGGGAAGATAGTGAGAGGTGATTTTCGAGGATCTAAGGGGTGGATGGGTATGTGGGTGGATGGTACGTACCTTCTGCTTGAGCTGCGAGGTTCTTTTGTTCCTGTTCGTCGCCCATTTGGTTGCGGCCGGTTTCGAAGACTTTGTCTATTTTCGCTCATGTATTAAATTTGGTCCTGCAGTCGAACATTTGGTTGGAGGTGATTCTGGACATACCGAAATCGTACTCGAACCACCTGATATCAGGGTTCAAGCCAGCGAATTTCCAGACTCCGTTGACTTTCTTGTACCAGTGGAGGTTGAAGGAGTGGGCGTGGCCCTTTACGGCGACCTGAGTGAGGGTCTCGTCTGTGTATTTTTGGTGTGGTACGCGGAGTTGGTGGTAGCCTTAGTGCAGTTTTGAATGTCAGCTTACTGGATCTCTGACGTTTCCACACAAGATCGATTTTCGTGAGTGTGTCAACGTACCAATAATCTCATCATCGCTGACTTTCTCCCACTTCGTGCCGCCGATGAAGTGCTGAGTCTTCAATGTCGGGTCTCCAAGGACGTGTGGATCGCTGGCCATTTGAATGAATTCTTCTGCTGGCATTTCTTCCCAGAGCTTGTTGAGGAAACTGCGATAGTCGATTCGGAGGGTTGGTGCAATGCACTTTCGTAGACGCTCCCAGTCTTTGCTGTCGTAGGAGTCGGCCCATTCGTAGACTGCAGCCATGCAGCCTTGCATTTCTGTATAGGCGAAAAGATGGAATTAGTGAGGCCCAGCAAAAGTGGTCAAGTATAATGCCATGCAGATCTGGTGTTGCAGGCGAGAAGAGCTGCTACTTCTGCTGCCATCTGGGCATTACTGTGATCATGCTTTCGAAAGCAGTAGCAACTCTTCTCTGGTTCAGAGTGTGTAACATATTTACTGCTCAGCCCATCACTGAAGATGGTCGCGTAAATCCCTTTCGGTTTGACATCATTTGCAACCACTGTACTGTTTGACCAGCAGTGCAATGTGCTCAACTTGAGCTTGAAAATCTGATATGTAAGAAAGGACTAACCCTCGAGACTGATGAGCTTGACGGGCTCAAGCTGAGTGTCTGCGAAGCCTGGCATCTTTGCGGTTGTATCTGGTGCTGTCGTTTTGTTATGGGTGCCGTTCGATTTGGGCGGTGGTGATGATGAGGAAGAACGAGCACGCTTCAACGAGCGTGTCGCGCCAGCTTTAATATTGGGATCCATTTTCGCTGGAGCTGCAGCACGACGATAGCGCTATGCTAGGGAGATCTGCGGTCGACCGGTAGCGTTGTTGGTTGGTACGACGACATCTTCTCCCCGCCCCAAGTCCGCATGCTGACGCTCGTCACGAAACGTTGCGACGTGCGAACGGTGGGGAGCCGGAAAGGCGAAGTTGCGATGCAGATTAGTCTGGTCGGAGCGTTGTTTCGGAACCGAGCATATCGTCCTGCATGCTGGAGCACCGACTGGACGTTCTACCGATGGCCATGTGGACGCTGTGCTCACAAGAAATGATGGACACGGCGGTTGGGGAGCAGCGTGGGAGCTCCCAGAGCTGTGAGGTCCAAGGGCACTTGGTCGACGTCGGCCGTGCATTGAGCCGAGGTCTATTTTGGGACTAACGTGCTTGATAAGCATGTGAGCCAGATAGGCATGTGAGCTAGTTTTATGAGGTAGATAACTTTGATTCTTGATTTCTCAGGCTATATAAGTCAGAATTACACCAAAGTTGGATTAATTGAATGCTTAGAAGTTACTCTATCTAATAGACAGCTCCTTGAGTTATGGCCTTAAATACTATACTTGCTATAGGTTAGTTTAGCTCTTAGTTTCTTCTTAAGGTTATTAACTATTTCTATTACCTAACGAGCCTATACCTAAGCCGTGTCTCTAGCAGCCAATTTATTAGTGTTAATACTAAGAGTAAGCTTAATCTTCTTCCTTAGAGC